ATGAAAAATTAAACAAAAAGTAGAAAAGTAAAGAATTGAACCCTATACCTTTAGTGCACAAAATGTCCCCTTAACCATATGAGCTACCCTTGTTTTTGTTGAATATTGGTACAATTATTAGTTAATATTTAGTCATTATTTACCCTGTTCAAAAATTAAAATAAAAAATATTGTTGAAAGGAATCGAACCCAAGTCTTCCACATGTAAAGACACCCTCTCTTCCAATTGATATACACAACATTTCAACAAAATTATACAATTACTTAGATATATATAATTATTTTTCATAAATCTTATTTAATTTTTTTCCCAACGGATCCAGCACGGGCGACTGCCCAGGCTCGCCGGGTGCTGGATCCGCCCCTTCATGCAGGTGTTCTCATATGTCTAGGCGGCACTAACCCAAGTATATCACTCACATGGACGGACGCAGGGGTGGCCTAGGGGGTCACGTGACCCCCCAACTTTGCTCCCCCTTTTTTTACCATTAAATTTTCTATATTTTTGTTTCAATTTTCGAATTCATTATGGGATATGAAACACTATAACAAAAATAGTCATTTGCAACACTAAAAAGGCAACATTTGTCAATAAATGTTGCTAAAATGGTCTTTTGATAACATTTTAGTAAGTGAATGTTGCCATTAGTTAGTATAAATGAGTTTTGACAACGTTTTATAGAAAAATGTTACGATAAACCCCTTTTTACAACGTTTATTGAGTGTTGCGAAAAGTTTTATTTTTCACAACGTTTATCAAATGTTACAAAAGAAAAGCATTTTGCAACGTTTGTCAAACGTTGCAAAAGTAGACTTTTCACAACGTTTGACAAACATTGCAAAATGCTTTTCTTTTGCAACGTTTGATAAAAATTGCTAAAGGTCTCGCTTTTTAAAAAAATTATTTAAGTAATGCCCTGATAATATGACAAAAAATTTATTTTATAGTTTTTTTTATCAATTAATTTGTTCATCTAAGAGCATCTTCAAGAAGTTCTATATTTTTAAAGAGCACATTATACAATTTAAAAAAACATCTATAAATTTAGAGTAAAATTTTTTAAGCACTCCAACAAACTCTTTATATTCAATATTTAATTTTAGTAGTCTCAAAAAATATTTATTGTTTTCCTTTCTTTTATTTTCACAACTTTTCTCTAAATTATTGCATTATTTTTCTTTATTGAAAATTGAAATACTGTAAATGCATTTAATTATAGAGAGTGAGTTTGACACTCTCTCTAAATTAAAATATTAATTTGAAGAGTCTTTTGTAACATAATTTTAAGGGTTGACTTTTTAAAATAGAGAATATTTTATGTTTAAAGAGTATCTTGGAGATACTTTAAGTCCATTAGTTTGACATTAGATTTAGTATTAATAAAAAGAAAGAGAGAAAAACAATTTATGCTTCTAGACTTTTAGTGTATTCATTATAGATAGTAATAATGTTATTCATAATGAATACTATCGGTAGTCGCTCTTCATAGCATATATGTGACAATTTGTTATATGATGGATGAAACAATAAAAAATTATTACATTAAAACATCACTAGGGTTTCCAGTGGAGTAAAATACAAAATATCACTAGAATCTATCTAAAAATAGTAAAATTTTCTGTGAATTCTTTTCTTATACATAGTAAAAAAATAAAAATTAATGGATAAATGAAATTTTTTAATCCCGCTTCGTCGCAAATTGTTAGATATTGCATTGCACGATATTTTTCTGTTGACAGTTGAGACGGTGGACGTTACCAGTCCACCGAATACAATGGGATTTCTTTACGCAATTTCTGCCTTCATTCAGGTGTGTTTTCACGACATGGCAAATGAATTCCCAGAATACAAAAGATAGTCCTTGTCTTTCAAGAAAAAACAAGAATGTTTGCATATCATAACCTCAACAACAATTTGATTGAACGAATAATACTTATTCATAGGAGAATTATAGTATTGATCTTGAAGTTATTATCGAGCCACAAGTTAGTCTCACATTTAACAAGTTAATTCTCATCGTGAAATAGTCCCAAAATAACTGGAATGNGGGGGTACGTGACCCCCCAACTTTGCTCCCTTTTTCTCACCATTTAATTTTCTATATTTTTGTTTCAATTTTCGAATTCATTATGGGATATGAAACACTATAACAAAAATAGTCATTTGCAACACTAAAAATGCAACATTTGTCAATAAATGTTGCTAAAATGGTCTTGCTAAAATGGTCTTTTGATAACATTTTAGTAAGTGAATGTTGTCATTAGTTAGTATAAATGAGTTTTGACAACGTTTTATAGAAAAATGTTACGATAAACCCCTTTTTACAACGTTTATTGAGTGTTGGGAAAAGTTTTATTTTTCGCAACGTTTATCAAACGTTACAAAAGAAAAGCCTTTTGCAACGTTTGATAAAAATTGCTAAATGTCTTGCTTTTTAAAAAAATTATTGAAGTAATGCCCTGATAATATGACAAAAAATTTATTTTATAGTTTTTTTTATCAATTAATTTGTTCATCTAAGAGCATCTTCAAGAAGTTCTATATTTTTAAAGAGCACATTATACAATTTAAAAAACATCTATAAATTTAGAGTAAAATTTTTTAAGCACTCCAACAAACTCTTTATATTCAATATTTAATTTTAGTAGTCTCAAAAAATATTTATTGTTTTCCTGTCTTTTATTTTCACAACTTTTCTCTAAATTATTGTATTATTTTTCTTTATTGAAAATTGAAATACTGTAAATGCATTAAATTACAGAGAGTGAGTTTGACACTCTCTCTAAATTAAAATATTAATTTGAAGAGTCTTTTGTAACATAATTTTAAGGGTTGACTTTTTAAAATAGAGAATATTTTATGTTTAAAGAGTATCTTAGAGATACCTTAAGTCCATTAGTTTGACATTAGATCAAGTATCAGTATGATGTAGATTTAGTATTAATAAAAAGAAAGAGAGAAAAACAATTTATGCTTCTAGACTTTTAGTGTATTCATTATAGATAGTAATAATGTTATTCATAATGAATACTATCGGTAGTCGCTCTGCATAGCATATACGTGACAATTTGTTATATGATGGATGAAACAATAAAAAATTATTACATTAAAACATCACTAGGGTTTCCAGTGGAGTAAAATACAAAATATCACCAGAATCTATCTAAAAATAGTAAAATTTTCTGTGAATTCTTTTCTTATACATAGTAAAAAAATAAAAATTAATGGATAAATGAAATTTTTTAATCCCGTTTCGTCGCAAATTGTTAGATATTATTCTGTTGACAGTTGAGACGGTGTACGTTACCAGTCCACCGAATACAATGGGATTTCTTTACGCAATTTCTGCCTTCATTCTAGTGTGTTTTCACGACATGGCAAATGAATTCCCAGAATACAAAAGATAGTCCTTGTCTTTCTAGAAAAAACAAGAATGTTTGCCTAATTTTCTTGTTGAGTTAAGATGTTTGAATATCATAACCTCAACAACAATTTGATTGAACGAATAATACTTATTCATAGGAGAATTATAGTATTGATCTTGAAGTTATTATCGAGCCATAAGTTAGTCTCACATTTAACAAGTTAATTCTCATCGTAAAATAGTCCCAAAATAACTGGAATGNTCGAGCCATAAGTTAGTCTCACATTTAACAAGTTAATTCTCATCGTTAAATAGTCCCAAAATAACTGGAATGTAGAATATCTCGATTCAAGCGCCAATAGAGGTAAGCAATAACTAAATCTAAGATCATAACTAAGCCCTTCTTTTATTTTTTTTTCATTTTTGGCCTTTCACTCCGTTGAAGTTTTTGCATGAACATCGCCTTTCATTCAGCAGCATTTCTTGCACACAATGGTGGGCTTGCAAGCACCCTATACGTTTGCACGTGCCTAGGGAGTTTTGACTTTCGAACTGAACTTTTATCGAATAAAAGGCTTGACATTTACACGACGTGCGGATTTAAGACTAGAACAAAATTAAATTAAATTAAATTGGGCTAAAAAAAAAAAAACCCACATAGATCATTTCTATGTTCGTAGGCCGCACATGAACACGGCAGTACCCAAATTTTTTAATGAACGGTGTGTTAGCAGGTTAATTCAGTTTATTTAAAAATATAAGTTAGATAACATTTAGATATATATTTTCGAAATGAGAGTTAAATTCATAGCTAATTATTTATTCATATCACAAATTTTTATTTGTTGTATCACGTATTGTTACACTTGCGATCCTCAACATTTGCTCATTATAACACTTACTTGTCAAACCTTTTTTTTCGTCGATTCATATATTTAACTTTAATTAATTATTAAATCCGATCCTATAATCCTGAACCGATCTTACTTGAGATCGTAAATCCCAAGTTTGTCAATGAAGGGCAGATCTTGTAGATTTTGAAGACTTTTCCTAATGTTAACTCGAAGGGATTCCATCTAAGATTTTTTTTCTTTATTATAGTACTTGAAGACAATTTATTTTATAATTATTCTCTCTATGTGATTTGAATTGAGGGGAAAAAAATCTGTCACAATTTTAAAAAAAAATATAATAGGAAAATAAGTATCATTGGTCCTCCCAATGGACTTTTAGAAACAATTAGAGAATAAATACGCTAATTATTGGAAGGTTAATGACAGGAATACATCGAAAAAAAGTTAGCGACATAATGAGCAAAGATTAAGAAATTTAATTATAATCAAAATACGACGCAATTAAGAAATTTAGAATTAATAGACCCTTCGCTGGATTGACCTAAACTTGAATAGATAGCATGTGATTGCAACAGAATTTAGCAGCAAAATGTGTTCAAATCATACATTCAAACACTCATCTGCATGTGCCTTCGAATACACCCTATATACTTTAATCCGCCCTAAATATTCTTTGTAAAGCACCAATGAATCCGCCTGAATTAGCTTTATAAATTCTTTCATCCCGAATTTCAACACAAGCTTCCTTCATAGAGAGGAAGAGATAGAAACAGAGAGAGAGATGGAAGTATTTGCATGCACGAATTTATCCATTAAGCAAATTTTCAGCGTCATCACAGTTCTTCTGTTTATCTCTTTGGCAAAAAGTGCCTCACCTTTAAAAGTGTCAAAAACTTACACTAATTTCATCACCAAATCATGCACTAACGCCACTTATCCACCACTATGCGTCAAGACCCTCATCCCATACGCTCCCACGGTGGGTACCAAACCGTTGAAGCTCTGCAACGCCGCCCTCACGGCCGCCATACTGGCGGCTCGCAATGCCTCGGCCACCGTGTCAAAGATAGCAGAGCAAAATGGACTTACGGGTTACGAGGCGAAAGCCATGAAGGACTGCATCGAAGACGTGAAAGACACGGTTTATGAACTTAAGCTGACGCTCAATGCCATCGGACATCTCAATGATCCCGACAAGGAATTCCAATGGGCTAATGCCAAGACATGGGCTAGTGCAGCAATTACAGACATGGATTCATGCATGGACGGATTTTCGGGCCGGAAAGTGAATCCCATTGTGAAGAAGAAGATCAGAAGCAACATCACTGGAGTGCAAAAGCTTATTAGCAATGCTTTGTCCCTGATCAACCACCTTTATTAATTAATCATGGATCATCATTGTCCTTATTATAATATATACTTCCTTTTTGTGACTTGCTTGATGGAAATTGGAATCCACAAATACTTCAAATCCATGATTCGTTAAAAAATGTATACTCTAATTTGACTTTCTGTAAGTGCTTTATGGAATTAATGTGTAACTTCGAGTTATCCTTTATGGAAATGGGAAACCAATTCTAAGCCTTTATTTGGCAAAATTTATAAATAATTTATATTTTCAACTATGTATTCACAAGTATTATTCACTTATCTACCAGTCATTTCAATTTGTTATAATTCTTCCCAAATGGAGGCTAAATCATTATATATTACACCCAACGCCTATTTTGAATACCGGGTTAACAAGGTTTTATGGAAATTATCAAGTTTATCAGATGCTACCATATTGTGTATAGGGCACGATATTGAGGATAGCATTTTGCATATGTTTCAGCTGCGCACCTCCTAAGCTACATTATTTGGATTATCTGGGGAGAGCGAAATCATACTGTACAAGGTGGAAAATCGATAGATGCTGATGTGCTTCTTGAGCTTGCGTTACTTCAGTGCACCAACTCAAGTGGCAAGGAAAATCAACCCGATCATAATGCCTTAAAATGCAGGCGTTGCCGTGTTGCAGAGTTAGGGACTTCCGAAATGTTACACAGATGTGGCACTGCAGATTGAAATGGGATGTGTCGGGTGGGGTACAATCCTTTGTGGTCACTTGGGAGTAGTCTTGGCGGAAAGTGCAGCTAAAATGCGAGTATAGTTCACATTGGAAAATTCTGAGTCTCTTTCTCTTTGCCATGGTGTTGACATACAAAAAGTGTAGCCCAAATCGAGTATCCCAAGAGATAAGATCTAGTTAGGAAGTCCAGGATGAAGGTCCAAATAGGACTATTAGTGAATGCAGTGGACGCCCACGAACAAGGTACAGTCATCGCCCAAACTTGCAAGACTCCCAAGATCTGAGCGAGTGAAGTGCCTTAAAGTACCAAGAGTGAACGAGCCTATTCTCGCCCAAACCTTTGAATCGCCCAAGATCTTAGCAAACACGATATAATATGGTTATCCAGAGCAGCAGTTAATGAAGCGGTTATTGAGTAACCTTATCACACCCCAAGATCCAAGAATCACAGTTGTAAGCAGTTGAANCCCCACGATCCAAGAATCACGGTTGTAGGCGGTTGAACGACGAAAGTATTGGCAACAGTTAGAGACGGCAGCTCCATGACAAATCAGTCATCATGAAGAAAGTGGGTAGTTATAGAGCAAACAAACAGTTTCCAAGCAATTTGTCATGAAGAAATTCTCAATGAAGTATAAAAAGAAGAAAAGACTTAGAGAAGAAAACCCTGAATCAAACACTCTTAAATAGAGAATATATAATTTCAATTTCTTATATTAATTTTAATTATCCATTTTCAGTACTCATGTACTTGCGCCCGTTGGAAGCATTATGTTTATTTTCAATTGTAACTTTCATTAATAAAGTACCCATTTTTGGGATTTTGTCTCAAGAGGTTTGTCCCTTACACAATCGTCTGATCCCTATTTTAATTGTTAGCGATAATCCGTGCGAAACAATTTGCACTCTCGGTGGGTGTTGAAGATACAAAAAGTGAAGCATTATCTTTCATAAAAATTCTGATAAGGAACCAGCAA